GTCCCTCGAAAGAGGGGTTGTGTTCAAAATGGTCATACCTTTTTTAAAAGGTAACAAATGATCCCAACTTTTGAAAAAAACGGGTCAAGTTAATCCTTTTTGCTAACAGCGTCAAAAATTAAACGGTACAATTGCCTCCTTGGACAAAACTTAATTACGTGTCCAGTTTATCTTATTGCGTGGTAGTTGTGTGGCAGTGAGGTTAAAATTGTGACAAAAAAAATAGATTGGAGGTTGTTAAGGCTTCCATTCAAAGGGATTTTGAGATTGTTGAGATTCAAGAGTAAACAACTCTCCACTCAATCTGCTTCTTTGTCTTTTGAAGTCAGATTCTTTGTTCTGCATTCCAAACAAAAATCCTTCATGCGCATTTCTAAGCTGTTCATTTCTTTAGAAGATTATTAATTATTAATCTATGTGTGGAGTTACTTTTCACAAGATCTTCAATCATCCTCCAAATTTTGAAATACCACAAATCTTTCAAAAAATTTCATTTATTTGAGAAGTGGAGGAGTTCAATTTTCGTATAAGAGAAAAGTGGTCAAGAAACAACCCGCCTTTGAGAAGAAACAACCCGCCTCTACTGTGAAGATGTCATGTCTGCGCTTCCCTGTGAAACAACCCAAAACACAAAAGAAGAAGAAAAGGGTTTTCCTTACGCCACAAAGGGCCTTGCGATTCCGCCACAATACTCGCCAGATCGTGCCACCGCGAGCCACCACGACCTTCTTCGACATCATCTCCTCACGCGATCCCTCGCGAACACATCACCAGCCACCACAAAAGACAAAAACGTTGTCTGCGTCGCGCTCCCGCATCTCTATCGTCTTTGCCGCCACAAGGCTTCTGCCTTTGCTGGAGACAAGCATAACTCTCAGAGTAGAGTTGTTCGCGAGAAAGAAGAACTCAGGATTGGGTTGTTAGCGTGAAAGAAACAAAAGAAAATTGGGAAGAAGAAGACAAGTTCTTGATTAGGTTTCTATTATTGAATCAGCTTTTTAGAAATTTAATTAGAGTTAAAGTGATTTTAATTAAATTACCTATTAAGATTAGAGCTAATTAGAAATTGCTATTTACAGTGGTTAATAAACCCTAACTCGTCATAAATTTTTTAATTATAAATTAAAAGGAATCTTCACCCAATTCAACATTTTATTCACCTGACAGTGTCACGCAATCATTAAAAGGGTGTTGCTCCCTCCACCACCACCACTTCTCCCTCCACCTCCCCAACCTTCCGCAAAAAAATTTTAATTACAAAAATAACCTGTTTTACTTTTAAACCTATTTATTTACTTTAAACTCAAACCCTATCTTTCTACCCATTTTTACTTTTCACTCAGTCCCACCTCCCAACTCTCCTTCTCTCTCTTTTCAGATTCCCACCCCCTAAACTCCACCACATTCGTTTGTTTTAATTACAAAAATATTAATATAATAAAATTATATATTTCATATAATTAAACTAATAAATAATTTTTTATATAATTATAAATTGTTAAAGAATACAAAAACCATATATAAAAATATATATTATACAAAAACATTAAAACAAAAAACAAATTATATATAACCTGCAAAATAAAAAAAAATATAAATATAAACTAATAACAATAAAGATCTTCAAAAATACATCATTAAAATACATCAAAAATATATTAAAAAATAATACATCAAAACATATAAATTACATTATTAAAATATCTCCAAAATTAATATAAAAAAATTAACTAATAAAAATAAACTGGAAAATAAACATGTAACTTTAAACGGATGTGAGCATCCGTCAACGGATGTGAGCATCCGTCAACGGATGTGAGCATCCGTCAACGGATGTGAGCATCCGTCAACGGATGTGAGCATCCGTCAACGGATGTGAGCATCCGTCAACGGATGTGAGCATCCGTCAACGGATGTGAGCATCCGTCAACGGATGTGAGCATCCGTCAACGGATGTGAGCATCCGTCAACGGATGTGAGCATCCGTCAACGGATGTGAGCATCCGTCAACGGATGTCAGCATCCGTCAACGGATGTCAGCATCTGTTTAAGGCAAAACGGATGTCAACATCCGTTTCAGGCAAAACGAATATCGACATCCGTTTTCCCATAAACGAATGTTGATATCCGTTAAGGGATGCTCACATCCGTTTAAAGATTATACGTTTATTTTTTTTAGGGTTTATTACGCACCTTCACGACGAATCCTTCAAGCACCACCACACCACCACCACACACCGATCTTGGCACGGCTGATCAATTGCTTCCACCACCACTTGCAATCTCTCACTAAGCACACCAGCTAATGAAAGTCCATCACACTCTAAGACCACAATTCTATCACAATTAAAGAATGAGAGGAAGAAGTGAAATGTGAAAAAGAGGAAGAAGAACACAATGAAATAATGAGGGGACGAACGATAAAGAGGAAGAAGAGTTGTCACTACATACATGTAGAGGATTGGAGTGAGTAGAGGTTAAAAAATATTAACCCTAAAATTTTACTTAGGTAAAATAGGAATGGAAAAATAAAGGGAGGGGTAAAACAGGAATGGGGTGGTGGAGGGAGCAACACCCTCATTAAAATTGGACACCTCATTATGTTTTGTCCAGGGGGCACTTGCACCGTTAAAATTTTGACGCCATTAGCAAAAGGGATTAACTTGACCAATATTTTCAAAAGTTGAGATCATTTGTTGCTTTTTAATAAAGGTAGGACCATTTTAAACACAACTCCTCTTTTGAGGGACTAAAAGAAGTATTAAGCCTAATATAATTAAGTAATAAGGTTACTCTATCCATTCATTTTTAAAATATAAATAACCAAATAAAATTAAAGTTTGAAGAATTTCAAAATTGAGTTATAACTATAAGACTAAAAATATATTTATCTCTTTTTAAAATATAAACACTCAAGTAAAAAAAATATAAAAATCAAAATAAATTAAAAATTTAAATATAAAACTAAATTATTAATTAAACCTTAATTTTAATATTTTAGCTTTTATGTTTCTAACTATTTTTTAAATTTAATTAACTACTTGTAATAAAATTATAAAAAAATTATAATTTTTTTAATAATTACGATAATAATTAATTTTTATTTTTTTATTATAATAAGAAAAATGTGGACACTGTGAATGTATGTGTTTTCTCGAAAAGGAATACACATTTAATATATGTATTTCCATTTATGTCTAAAAATTAAAAGAAAATTTGAATGTCCAAATACTAAAATTGACCATGGTAAGATAATAATATTTAATATTTTTTTATAGATTACCATTATTAATATTATTTTTCCTTTTATATATAATATATAAAGTAACAAAGTGTCTATTTTTCTACTACTAAATTAGGATATATATATATATATATGATGACACATTTATATAAGTTAATTAAAAGTTAAATAAGACACATAGAACACATATTTATTGTAGTATGTGACTATCCAATCAATATAAGCTAAATGGTTAATATAACTAAGTATACCACAAGAACAATCATAGTTATCATCATGAGACTAAGTGGTTCTGACCCACGTGTTAAATAGTTACTCTACATAATATTATATTTAAATACTGTTATGACAATGTATAATTATTACTAATTGACCATATTTAATTCATCGTTAATCTAAAATTTATTCTGAAATTTATAAATATAGTTTTGAGATAAAATTTTAGATAATAACATTTAATATACATTAATTACTAGAACCGTCGAATCTTTATTAACTATAACCCGTTTGACCGAACAAATAACTAGGACAAACGATTAGGAGAGAACAAACATTCGAACCTTCAAAACGTTTCCAATACAATGACATGTAACCTTGATTCTATAACCTAAATATTTTTTAATAATATACTATTGAAAATAAATTGAGAAAGTAATATTTAAAAAGTAAAAGTTCTAAATGTGTTATTTGGTAAATCAAAATAAATTCATTAAATATGTTATTTTTATAATTTAAAGAGTGAATAATAATTAATTATATTCAAAAGAAATTCATTAAGTATATTATTTTATATGACAAACATTATTAATTTTTTTTCTTTTAAAATATAAAGTCACCTTGTATCTCTTTTTCTACTTCTTTTAAAGCCAAATAAAATATATATGCGAGGATACATATGTAATTACACTAACATTTACATAAGTTAATTAAAATTTAAATAAAGCTCGTGGAATAAATATTTTAAAAATTGTTATACTTACTAAAAGTAAATTGAGGAAGTAGTGCTTTCAAAAGTAAAAATAACACGAAAATAAATTTATTAAATATATAATTTTATATGACTATAATTGTTAATATTATTTTTTTCATATGAAGTTATTATGTTCCTCTCTTTCCAAATTTTCTTACTTGAGATATACATGGGATCACATTAGCATTTATATAAGTGAGTTAAAAGGAAAGTAAAACACATATAACAAGTATTCTTTTAAAAAACAAAGCAAAACTATATTTTAACATACTTTTTTTTTACACAATTTTAACATAGATGTCATTTTTTAATTGATTCATTGTTTTTTTGTTTGTTGTACTTATATACTCTAAACTTAATAAAAATAATAACATATATACATTGTCAAATAAGTTATAAAAAAAATGTCTTAAGGTATCCTTATCCAAAAACAAATTGATAAAGTAACATTTAAAACAGTAAAAGCATTAAATATTTTATTTAATAAATGAAAAAGAATTCATTAAATATATTATATATTTATAATTGAAACAATGAATAATAATTAATTGTTTTAAATATGTTATTAAAAAATTAGTACTCGGTAGATGTCCTAACCTGAAGAATAGATGAGATATCTAATTATACAAAATTTATTAAAATGCTTTCAGAATAAACATTTAAAAGAAAAATCTTCCCGAATGAGGATCCGATCCGACCCCATTGTGACCCGATCCGACCCCATTGGTTATTTGAGTGGAAAGTGATAACAGTTAGAAACACAATATTTGAATGGCAACTGTATTTGGCGGGTGAAGAGAGAGGAATCACCATTTTCATTTCCTCTTTATCATCACTCACCATCGTCGTTTTCTTCTCAGAAATCATAATAATAATAATAAAATAATAATAAATGTGGAATCTTGAACATGATTGGTACTCTCCCAAGAGTCTTCTCAGCACTCCCACCCATTATGATTTTCCAGTAAATTATTCACCATCACTCAATCTCACTTTCAATCTTGCAAACTTTGTATTTCTTTATTTATTCTTGTTTTTTTTTTCTAGGGGGATCGCTTCATTCCCAACAGGAGTTTGATGGATCTTGATCAAGCCCAGAGTTTGCTCACAAACAGGACCAAAAAAATTCAGAACAAAAAATTCAATGTACCATTCCTCTTTTTCACACACTTTAGGTGTTTGTTTCTGTGTCTGTTCTTTTTTTTTCATGCTTAAGAAACATAACTTTTGAACCTTTTTGAATTTTGATTGTTGGGATTGTACCCTTCTTCACTGATATACAAAGAGTTCTTCTTCGTTTCTAAAGTCGTCGACTTTTTATTCACAACTCAAGAAAAAGCATTCTTGTTGAAGTTCTTGAATGTGTATTTTTTCCATGGTTGGCTGTGTTTTATCACCACAAAGTACATTTTTTTCTTGCCTCAGGAATATTCGGTGCATCAGATTTTGAACGTTTTTATATTTTATATCAATTGTTGAAGTTATCTTCTTGGAGAACTCTTTATATATTGTGTGTGTGTGTGTTTCCCTATAGGATGCGTACAGACAGATAGTGGAAGAGAAACTAAGTTTGGATTCAGAAGGAAAGCCATTTAAGATGTTGGTTTTTAGGGGAAGTCCAAAATCAAGCAGAAAATCCATTCGTTATATTGATGAGATGCGAGACGAAGAAGCAGCGTCATTGCAGAACAATAGCAATCAACATCACAGTTCAAGAAGATTGCCTAAGGTTTTGTTCATATCAGTCTGTGTTTTTCTAGTTTTTTTTGTCCATAATAATGTTTCTATTGTATATTCTATTTTTAGATAGAGCGATCAGTTCAATTTGTTCAAACATTTATTTGTTGTTGAGTGATATAATTTATATCTGTATAAGGAAAATGCACCTTTATCTGCCTTTGGTGTGACCTTGTTCGAAATGATCTTCAGTAAAACCCCTAAACCATATCAACACAAATGCTTTACATTTGTGATTGTCGGCCAAAGCAATTCCTATGTTGCTGTTGACCAGTTACGAAGTTTAGCCAATATGGGGTTGAATGTAATGTTTTCCTATTTATCTGATTGAAAAGAACAACTGAACGCAATCAAGGTAATACAACAATTTTGCAAAACTATGAAACTCATGTCACTGTAAGAACATTCATGTTTATATAGGAGTAGAGCAGAACAACCATAACAATCTAATATGTCATAGATATATTAGATCATAGATCATAAATGTAGATAAAGACATCACAGAAGTTGTTCTTGTTGTTGTTAAAAGAAGGCTAATTTGATGTCTTGTGATTCTAGTTTTCTTGTTTTCTTTTGTTTGAGATGATTTAATGTTTATGATGCACCCGATTGGTATTATCATTTTTCCAATAAATCCTAATGCAACAAGTTTAATAAACTTGTAATGATAAGAGCAAACACTGCTGATAGCAAACTAATACATAAAATGAAAAGGGAGATAATTTTATAACTGGTAGTAACTTGTGTGTTTTCCTCTATATATCCAATATACAAAGCCATGATCTTAAGCTGTAGTCTGACTGGATGAATGGAATAACTACATTTGCAGGGAGAATCAAGGATATTGGATGCACCAAATATTAGAAATGATTACTACGCAAACATCATGGATTGGGGGAAAAACAACATTCTTGCTGTTGCTTTAGGCTCAAACATGTACCTTTGGAACTCAGACAATAGTAATGTAACAAAGTTGCTTAAAGCCTCTGGCAACGATTTTCCTACGAGTGTTTCCTGGTCAGAGGATACCAAGTACTTGGGAATAGGATTCAAGAGCTCAAAACTTGAACTCTGGGATGCAGAATCTTCCAAACCAGTATGCTTCTGTCTATTTATGGGGCTTCTCTAAGATCAAGTAGTTAGCTATACACTACAACTGTGTGCACATAACTCAGCTTTTAACTTTCAGATAAGGATCCTTGAAGGTCATAGTGAAAGGATAGCAACCATTGCATGGAATGGTCATATTTTAACTTCAGGAAGCCATGACAAGTACATAATCAACCATGATGGTAATCAGTTGTTCCTTTTAACCCTTTTCAGATTAGTGAGTGTATAAAAAGACAGTGATGAAATGAGATAGTTTAACATGTTGACTTTTCATCCTCTTGTAAGCAGTTAGAGCAAGAACAAATGTGATATCCCGGGTAAAAGCACACAGAGCAGAAGTTTGTGGTCTGAAATGGTCAAGGGGCAACATATTGGCAAGTGGTGGAAATGAAAATCATATTTATGTATGGGAAATGTCCAAAATGAGTTCATCCAATTTCTTGCACTGTTTTAAGGACCATTGTGCTGCAGTCAAGGCACTTGCCTGGTGTCCTTATGATTCAGGTGTGCTTGCCTCTGGAGGTGGCACTGAAGATAGATGTATCAAGTTATGGAATGTGAAATATGGAACCTGCATTTCCAGCATAGATACAAAGGCTCAGGCAAGACAGTAATCTGTTTCCTTGTTTTATTAACTGTCTTGTTATAATGTTGCATTAGTTGTTAAGTATTAAGCATTGTCATTAGCCAAAAAGAATAAATCATCATTTTCTTATCTGGACTTGGGCATCAAACTTTCTCTAGCTGAATGATGCATCAAACTTTCATGCAGGTTTGCGGATTAGAATGGAATAGACATCATAAGGAGGTATTAAGTGGCCATGGATTCAGCACAAGTGCACATCACAATCAACTTTGTTTGTGGAGATATCCATCTATGACTAAAGTGGGAGCCTTGGAAAGTCACACTTCTAGAGTACTTGATATATGTCAGGTATGCTGCAAGTCATAATATAAAATTCTTGCATCAATGAGTCTGGTGGACTATCTGCTGGGTTTAGTGTAGTCCTCTGCTAAGCATTAAATATATATTGATGTTGGTATGTTAAAACTATTTTTAATATATGTTAAAATATCAAATTCATAGTTCATCAGTTCATTTTGAAGACACTGTAGAGAAACAACTCTGAAAAATCTAGCAAAGAATCCAAATTCAACATCAATGCTTCTTTCTGCAGTGTATTATAAGATTTTCATAGGTAACAAAGATTGAGAAGGAAGAACTGAATCAGGAATTGCACCAATAAAGACAGAATATGATATTCAATTAACTAAATATGCACCAATAAGAATTTAATCTTTGATTTGGTAGTTTCTTCTTCAAAACAAAATTAAATTATTAATATGTTTTGCAGAGCCCAGATGGTTTAACAGTAGTATCAGCTGGAGCAGATGAAACTCTTCGCTTTTGGAATGTATTTGGGCCACCTGTAAGTAATAACTATGAGACAGATCTGGATAACCTTTTGTCTCTCAAGGTTTCTCCAATAAGGTGATGGAAACAGAGACAATTTTCTTGATTCATGGTTGTTTGTGTAAATAGTAACGTTGACATTGGTTTTAATACATTAGCAATTTTTTAATTTAAAGTTATTGAGAGAAAGAGAAGTATATAATACTAGTAGCAAAACATTGAAAATTCTTATATTTGTTTAGACAAAAGAATGGGGAAATCCTCAAACTAGCTTATCATGTTGTTTTATTAGTGATACACCTGTTTTCGAGATATTTATACGATATTAAATATATAATTAAGTTCATAATGTACTGCTTTATGAATTGTATATATGTATATAGTAAGATAAAATGAATAATTATTCAAATATTTAGTTTTAAAAGAAGAAAATTACAATTATAACTACAATGAAAAATTTAGAAAGAACACTAAAATATTTATCTAAAATGATAAAAATAAATGGTTTCTATAATAACTAGAAAAAATGAAATATTGGTAAGGAAACAAAGATAAATTATCACAATAACAAATAGATTGAAAAACCAAAATACGAGCCATGGTCCTCATCCTCTAAATGAAAAGGCTTTTTCTTTTTGCGACACCACAGTTTCTAACTGCTGCTCCACAATTTTCAATATCATTTGTAGTGGTGACTTTCGAATTACTTGTTCCAAAAATCTTCTACAACGTAATTCAGAACATAATTTTTGGATCACATTTTATGGAATACATTTTTCAGAATATATATGATATTTTCCAAATGGAAATTTTCAGAACTGAATTTTTAAAACACGCTTTTTGACAGAGGCAGCATGGTCAAAATAGTAATTTTGGTCTTTTTACTGGTAGAATGGGGGTGTAAATAGGAATAATAGGGAAGTAGTAATAATGGGTTCAGGAAGGAAAAAGAGTTTGGAAATTAAACAGGTGAATACACGCCGCATAGACCTAAATCAGAGGAGTGTTTCATCCAACACCTCTAACTGCACCTCCAAAAATTCCATTTTTAACCTTATGACATATGCACTTCCAACTTTTCAAAACATTTTATTTTTTAATAAATATATTTTTATTTTCTTCTCTCTCTTATTAAAGACACTTTAATAAATACATTTTTATTTTTTTCTCTTTCTTATTAAAGTTTTTCTACACCATTTTAATAATAATCTAATTTAATTTAAAATTTAAATATTATTTAATATAATTTTATATTTTAATAATTATTAAAATATGATTTATATCATAGTTATATTAAATATATAAAAATCAAATAACTAAAATAAAAGTAATAATGATAAAAATAAAAAATAAAATAACAATAACAATAATATAATATTTGCTTTAATATATTCAAATATATTAAATTATATTAAAATATTACAATAAATTAAAGAGTTATTAAATTTTAAATAAAAACAAAATTTTTAAAAACTTATTTATTGGATAGTTTTTTATTTAAAATATAATATATATTTTTATAATAGTTTTATTAAAATTACTAAAA